ATGGTTATAGTATCATATAGATATATATTTTACAACCATGTGAATAGTACATGCCATTGTAGTATATATATAATCTTGTGCTGTCTCTCTCTCATGAATGTAACATATACTGTATGTTACAAAGGGATACACTTTATTCTTGGTAGCAGTATTCAATGACATGTTCTATATGCAGAGGTGTGCCATACAATGGTATATACTATACACTGAGTGGCCAGATTATTATGACCACCTGATGTTTGTAGGCAAATTAGCTATAATTAGTTTTAATTTGGCGCTGAAGTTGCTAGAGGGCCAGACCATTATAAATAGGGAAGCAGGTTGTTTACCACGACAGTAGAAGTGATTTTTTTTTCTGAAGATACGGGTAAACAACGCGATTTAACAGCCTTTGAACACGGGATGATTGTTGGCGCTCGGAGCCATGGAGCGAGTATCGGCAAAACAGCAGAATTCGTTAAATGCTCAAGAGCAACTGTTGTTAAAGTGTTTAAAGACCGGACTGTCAGCCGAAAATCTGGGTCTGAACGTGCGAATTGTGGCCGTCAGCGACTAGTCAATGTTAGGGCAGAACGGAGAGTGGCAAGACTGGTACAAGACAACAGAAGGGCAACAGGGCAGTGTCAGATTCCTCGCATCGCCTTTCACCATCTCGTGGAGTCACGAGGCGGCCCAACAAAGTACTGATGGGGTGGTCATAATAATCTGGCCACTCGGTGTATATGATACAATGGGATACATTATATTCATAGTATAATTATAACAACATAATATATTCATAGGTGTGTGTGGTACAGTGGAATTTACATAGCTATAGTTATGATACAATGACTAAGAATGGGTGAACCTGCCTGTTTTTTGAAATTTGTCAAGCCCCAGCTTAGTTGTGAATCCCATTTGATGTTTATGAAGCCTGAATCCTGTTGACATATTCCGGCCATGTTTAGGGTCAATAGGCAAACTATTGTAATGAGAAGGTATGGGAAGCCGGGCAGTGTTTTTAGGGAAGTTGTACAATGGGTCATAAAACTTTACTGAAAGATTGCAATATTTTCTCTGAATAATATATCTGTGTTGTGCACGTTTTGTTATGTACAAATACGCACACACATAATGGTTATTGGTTCTTAATGGGTGCACTGTAATTGCACGCATGCACATACCTTGTTACATTTGGTAATGAGTTATCACATCCATTTGAGGGATCCCTTTCAGCTAATATAGACAGTTCCGGGATTTTTCTATCATGTGGACCATGTTACTTTTATTGGAGTATATGGGGTTAGGAAAGCTTTCTACTGTTTGCTGGGCTACCAGAGCCAGATCATCCACAAGGCATCCTACGGTGGAGCTCAGCCCTGCTGGATGCAGGGGATCCCAGCTACATCTTTCATGTTCCTGCAGTAACCTGGGGTGGTAACATGACTGGTCAAAGCTGTGCACCTAAGGGGGTACTTGTAGGTTGTTGGTGTCTGATGAGTCCGTACCAGTGCAGACAATGCAAATGCGACAGGTTTCTGTACCTAATACTATCATAATCAATGTCAATTAAACAGATGGAGGTGGGCAAAGCTGCTACCTTGCAATGGGTTCCTTCTGTCTTAATGCATTTCTAATTGCCAGCACTTGTATTACGAGTGATATTGTCCCAACACTGGTATGAAAGGGCAAAGTGAAGCAAAATCCAATGTTATAGGCAGCACAGACCTCAGTCCCTGCAAATCATAAAGTGTCATAGACACTCGTTAGAAATGTATCTCCTGCCTGTACAGCAGATTCAGCCCATATTCACACTGAGCATTTTGTAGCGTGCTACACAAGTGT